AAAAGGGCTAAAATCAAATCCATCAAATTATCGTCCTATCTCCCTAACCAGCACCATCTGCAGAGTATTTGAAAAAATCATATCCCAACAAATCATTAGCTTCCTCATGACAAATAATTTAATTAATCCCAATCAATTCGGTTTCCTAAAGGGGAGGTCTACAATTACCCAGCTTATTTCTACATTACAAACATGGTATGAAACAATATTAAAGGGTGAATCTACAGATTGTATATATATTGATTTCCGCAAAGCATTTGACTCCGTACCTATTCAGTTTTTAATTTATAAGTTAGAAAATTTAGGTATTAGTGGAAAACTCTTAAGTTGGATTGAAGACTTTCTCACTAATAGGACCTTTCGGGTAAAAATTGGGGAAAGTCTCTCTTCTTCATACGAAATCAAATCGGGTGTACCCCAGGGGTCGGTCCTCGGCCCACTTCTTTTTCTTGTCTATATAAATGATCTCCCTGGGGTACTTCCCCAACACCTACACATAAAACTATATGCAGACGATGCAAAAATTTACGAGCACTTTGACAATAATAACTCCAAATTATTACAAAAAGGACTGAATTCGATAAATAAATGGAGTCAGGACTGGGCCCTTCCAATAGCACATGATAAAACTTTTATTCTTCATATCGGTAAAAATAACACTGGTATAAAATACAAAATTAATGATATTATCCTCCAAGAAACCTCATCTATTAGGGATTTAGGTATCGAAATCACAAAATCTCTCTCCTTTAATTCCCACATCAACAAAATTGTTAAAAATGCATTCTACCGCTCCATTCAACTTTTAAGGACTATTCACTCAACCAACCCTAAAATATGGTCTATTTCATTTAAATCCTATGTTAGACCCATACTTGAGTATGGACCTGAAATCTGGAATCCGATGACGAAAACACTTACTAATCAAATCGAAAAAGTTCAAAAGTTTTACACCCTTCATGCTCTTAGAAAATGTAAACGATCCAAAATCGCTTATCAAGATAGGTTAAAAATTTTCGACCTAGAAAGTCTCAGTCTAAGACGTACTCTTTACGATTTAACCTTGATTTATAAAATTATCAATCACTTTACTTCAATCAATCCTAAAACATTAATAACATTTTCCTCCAGAACTAAAAGAAATAAACACAAACAACAAATACAAATTTTAAGGAAAACATCTAAAACTGAAAATTGGATTATAAATAGGTGTACAAATACTTGGAATTCTCTCCCAGAAAACATAATTAACTCGAAAACTCCAAAACAATTTTGGATATTACTTAAAAATCACTTATTAAAAGCCAAGGAAATAAATAATACATTTATATACTACTAAAAAATAGTCTTAATTTCCTCATACATACATATATATTAAATGGGTTACATTCACTGCATGTAAGTGGCACATATATATTTTTTACTAAATTTGTGCCCTTTGATTTTACGTGAATAAATAAATAAAAAAAATAAAAAAATATCCGGATCCGGAACCGAAATTTTTATTTTCAAAATTTTCGCCTGCGGCGCTGTAAAGTCGAGTCTCTATGGATGATATAGAGGGATTAAGATCAATTATAAATGGATTTGGGGAATTAACAGATGTATTGAGGGAATTTAGGATTAACAGAGTTATCGATGTGAGGAATGAGTTATTTGAAGAATTAATAGAGACATCGGGTATTTTCTTACATTTAAGATTGGTGGATTGAGGGCTAGGGTTTGGGAATTACGAGAGATATTGAAGGATTTATTGATTAATCCCCTATATCCCCTTTAATTCCAATATCCTTCAAGGGCGTATCCAGGGGTTAGCTTCGGATGGGGGGGGGCATGTGAGTTTTTACAACTGTTTACAACACATTCTCTTTTAGCGCCGCAGGCGAAAATTTTGGGAATTTTGGAGGTCCTTAAGCTAGATTTCTTCCATTTTCTGCGCCGCAGGCGAAAATTTTGGGAATTTTGGAGGTCCTTAAGCTAGATTTCTTCCATTTTCTGCGCCGCAGGCGAAAATTTTGGGAATTTTGGAGGTCCTTAAGCTAGATTTCTTCCATTTTCTGCGCCGCAGGCGAAAATTTTGGGAATTTTGGAGGTCCTTAAGCTAGATTTCTTCCATTTTCTGCGCCGCAGGCGAAAATTTTGGGAATTTTGGAGGTCCTTAAGCTAGATTTCTTCCATTTTCTGCGCCGCAGGCGAAAATTTTGGGAATTTTGGAGGTCCTTAAGCTAGATTTCTTCCATTTCCTGCGCCGCAGGCGAAAATTTTTGAAATTTGGAAGGCCAAAGGGCTAGAATTTCTTCCATTTTTCCAATTCTAGGATCAGAACCGAAATTTTCGGATATCCGGATCCGGATCCGATATCCGAACCGAAAATTTCGGATATCCGGATCCGGATCCGATATCCGAACCGAAAATTTCGGATATCCGGATCCGGATCCGGTATCCGAACCGAAAATTTCCGGATATCCGGCCTTTTTTCGGATCCGGATATCCGGATCCGACAACCTTACTGTTCAAGCCAATCCATATGCACAAGCATAGTATTTTTTACTTCGGATAAACTGTATTCTTGTATATTACTTGGAATATATTTTTTAGCTAACCGATAGTAACTTCAAATTATTTTTTAAATATTCAAAATAACAATATCGCCATTAGCATACTCGATTACATTCGTATGCGGAAATATTTATTGAATGGGAGATAAGAAGAACCATTATAAAATCCCCCCCCCCCCCATTGTAGCTTTATTGAAAAAATAATCCTTCAGAGAAGTAAAATAAAAAACTTACCTGTGCTCAAACCAATAGCGGCCAGAAAATGAGCTTTTGGATTTAAATCACTTATATCTGCAATGATTGCTGAACCCTTTATTGCTTTAATCTCTTTTACTCGATTTTCTACTTGTTTAGTTTCTAACCAAAATGTACTGGAATAATCTAAGTAAAGAATTTGTTCTTGATTGTTTTTATTTCTTGTTCCTTTTTTTACTTCATTTTCTCTTGATTTAATTATCAATTTAACTTTATCCTTATCTTCATATATCTCATTGTATAAAAAATTAAAAAGAGCTTTAAACCATCGTTTTTGTAATTCAACAATAAAATCATCGTATTGTTTCATTGTTTTCTTATGATTTTCTTCAGCCTTATTTAAGGGTATTTATCTCGTTTATGTTCATCAAAATAGAAAACAGAGAGAATCGAGTTTATACTAAAATCCTGCACGTCCTGATGCCCGAAAATCAAAAATTCCTTACTATTATGATCATGCTGTGGAATAATTAATTGGATGGGAGATGGGATTCAACCATACGTAATGAGCCCAGACCGAAGCACAACCGAATGTGTCACCATCCAACCCGATAATGAGTACCGATGATAGTACAACAACTAAACAATAGTACAACAACTAAACATAAACTGCCAATTTGATCTGCTTCTGCAAAATGACACGAGATAAATACCTTTTTTAGTTTTTTATTTTGAATTGAAGATTTCAATCTTTCTTTAAATTCATCATCACACATTTTCCTCTCATTTTTAATTTCTTCAATTAATTCCACAATCGCCATAGGCGTTCTTGATTCGATTTGTATTTTTGATTTTGACTCAAAAATTCGTACAAAAGTATATGATGCATAATTTGAAAACCAAATACTCCCAGTATTTGATGTACTATAAGCTTTGCCTGTCCTAGTTAAAGGTATACCAACACAATATTCAGATGCCATTCCACAATAAATTAAAGATTTAATACTTTCATAACGTTTTCTAAGTTTTTCAGAAAGAAAATCCGATTCTTCAACCAATTTATTTATATTTTCTTTCTTTAAATAACTCCTGCTATTTTCAAGCACGCCGTCGTAGAAAAAGTAACCTTCCTTGAATATCTTTTTGTTATTAAATTTTTTTTCAAATATAGCAAAAGCATAGTTAACTGATGTTGTTTTTGATTCTAAAGTTTTTTAAAATTAATATACAATTTTGCATGAAAGATTATTTGAGGGATCCTTCAATAGCATTAGTAAGAATGAATCTAACAGACATGGTCATGGATACGGATTTTGCTATCCATATCCGAATATATCCGTAGGGTCAATATCCGTATCCGTTTGTATCCGTCCAACTTTTGAGGCATATCCATCCGCGGATATCCGTGGATATATCCGTTTTTTCTCAAAATGGTCAGCCTGGCTAAAATTTTCAAAATGGTCAAATTTATTTTAATTCGAGTAATGGTTAGATAATAAGGTAATAACTGCATGCAGCAAAACGAACCTTGCTTATGAACCTCGGAGGTTCGAAAATCGGAAGGCAGAGGTCGGAAATCAGGGATCATACCGACAAAAAATAAAATTTTGAAAATTTAAATTTCCGATTTCGTGCCGAAATGAAAATTTTGTTTAACTTGCAAGTTGATTATTTGCTTTCCAAAATTCTAAAAATTTTCGCCGTAAGTAGGGCTCACCGAGCCTTCGGGTTCGGGATCGTCGGGGATCAGGGTTTGCCAAGGAGGGCATGTCGTGGTTCGGGGTCGAAGTTGACTTTTGGGTCGTGGGTTGGGATCAGGTGCCACTCAATTATCTCCTACGTTGGGAATACATATAATTATTTTCTCTTGGCAAAATGTATTTTTAATATTTAATCAGTGATGTTTAATGCAGAAATTAGGGACGGATAAATTAGGGACGCATCATATCCGTATCCATCCGTATCCGTCCAGTTTTAAAAAAACACTATCCATATCCGTCCGTATACGCGGATATCCGCGGGTATCCGGATATTATCCGTATCCATGGCCATGCCTGGAATCTAATCGGTACTTAGCTCAAATCTCCCGCCCGCCCCATTTTACTGTTAATTTGACAGTAAAAAGGGAAAATTAATCTAAGACACAAATACGGGTAAAATATAATAGATCCAAAAATATTAAATAATAAATAAAATACCGATAATAGGACCAATAATATTAAAAATTGATATGGAAAATTTTTCAGTTTAAAAGTTACCTAAAAATTTATTTCGAATATTGTCATTAATACTATCAGCACAAAAAAATAAATCAAATGTAATTTCTTGAACCTCAAATCCATATAGTGTTTCAATTGATTTTCCTTTTAGATCATCAATTTCGTTTTCAATTATTTTATTGTCTTTTAAGGCCTTCTCGAGTTTGACATTTGCCTTATTAATTTTATTCTTCTTGCTTATAAAATTTAATTTTGATTTTAATTTTTTGATAAAAGATACTTTTTGTTTCCCCGGTATAATATTTTCTGATTTAGTTATTCTTTTGGTTTTTCTCAAAATTGCCAAAGGCTTTTCCTGTGTCAAATTAATGTCAACAATCTCTGTGTTGTTAAGAATTCTTAAAAATGATTTTCCGTCATGATTTGCCTCTTGGTTTCCTTCATGATTATTTATATATTCAATTAATTTATTTAACCTATCCCTTAACACAGTTTCCAAATTTTTGCTTTTAATAATAAAACCAATATCATTATTAACGTCTTTTAACAGTGATTTATCTTCAACAAAAAGTTGACCAAATCCAGTACCCAAAATGTATCGCAATTCTGACATCCATTTTCGATCAACAAATATATACTGATTGCGAGTGTACTCGTCAGAACTATCATCTATCAGAGTTACGTTCATACCTTCTAAAAATTATTGAGAAATAAAATGAACTAATTAAAAGACTTTCATTTATTTACCAATAAAAAGCTTGATAGTAGCATATAGGCCAATGGGTCCACCACCTTCCACAACTACATTTTCATATTGCTTATTCGATTTTTTATTGGAAAAATGATCAGAGTAGATCTGCTCTATTATAATTTTATCCATTTCTTCGCTTTGGAATTTTGATAAATAAAGAATTGATTTTAATGCACCCAAAGCGGAAATATTCGTAAGAAGCTCTTGTCTTTGAAACCATTCCTTAATAAGTCTCCTTGACGAAGGCCCTTTTTCGATAAAAGAGTATACCGTATTTATTCTAATAGAATGGCAGCCATTCTATTTTTCAATACCCCAAAAAATTGTCATTCAATTGGAGGTGCCATTCAAATGGAGGCTGCCATTCTATTTTTCATAGGTCAAAAATTTAGATTGGGATTGTTGTGATTGAGATGGGTGATTGGGAAAATTGGCAATTCGACCAACTTTTCTTGGAAAATTCGATATTTTAGAATTTTATAGTGACTTTTCCTCTACGTATCATTATAAGATTTAAAAGTTTTTTATCTCGGGACTAAGAGTCAAATTTTGATTAAGATAGGTGCAATACAAACAAAATTTTCTGCACAGTTGGGTCCTGATTGCTTATCAAATCGTGGAATTTTGGTGAAATATAGTGAGATCAAGTGACATTTGGATGGATATTGGGTTTTGGAGGGTTACAAGATTTTGAGGAGGATGTTGGGTGATTTGGCGGGATATAGGGATCTAGATTTGTTAGCTTTGATGGATTTGAGGGGGATTACTTTCAAGCAATTCAATTGACTTCTACTTCAAAAATAGCATTATATACTTAAAGGAATATTAATCTAGGTACATAATTAAGGAAATAATCCATCCAAAATCATTCACATCTCCCTCAATCTTTCCTAATCAATCTTGATCATACGCTGATCATACGCATCACCAAAAAATTTGTCTATGAACGAAAAATTGTCTTGAGAATTGTTAATTACTAGTCTTGAGACTCACCTTGATTATTTTATTTTAATCCCAGATATCTTCGTCAAATGTTTTTATCCCTCATTATCCTCTCAAATCCCTTGATATCCCTATCAAACACCACTTTTTCGCCCTAGACTTGCTCAAAAATATCGGAACTATCATACTAAAAAGGAATATTAAACTAGTTAATTAAGGGAATAAAGAAATAAGAGTTAGGTAGTTAATAATTAGAAAGTGTCATTCAATTAGAGGTGCCATTCAAATAGAGGCTGCCATTCTATTTTTCATTCATTCAAAAATGTGTCATTCTATTGGAGGTGCCATTCAAATGGAGGTGCCATTCAATTAGAATAAATACGGTATATCAATTAAAGACCCTTCTGAGCCATTTGAATGTAGATCAATTATAAATAGCTTGGACAGTATAATTGAATATATCATGTTTTCGTAGTATTCTTGTGATTGATTAGACATGGAACACGCTTTGAATTTTGGGATATTAACTAAAAACCTCTCTACTAGAATTCTATTATTAATTTGAATTCTATACACGCTAAAACCTAATTATCTAAACTAAAACCTAGTTAGCTTCGTTCAAAATTATCGAATCCTTGAGCACTGGTCAAGTTCGATGCACGTCGACGAGCTGAATCGAACCATCCAGGACGGCCTGGATTCGACAATTTTGAACGAAGCCTTGGCCTTGCGGTACATTGGCCTGTTTCCGTTAAAAGCTTATTAATGCGACAAAATGATTACATTCCCCTGGGATGTGGAGCTTGTCCAAGCGCTTCAATGGATTTGTACAAAATAAGACAGACTTCACTAAATCCGTCACTAGTAGAAACTTTTACACATATTAAGCCTCGTATACATAATTCATACAGACTACCTGATTTTGCTAATTCATTTTCATTTCCAATTTCCTTTGCCTTTTTCAGACAATTTTTAATGTAGTTATCATAATCATTCAATTCCTGTGCAATATCCTTAGTCAATTTGATATTTTTCAAATATACTACCCCGAATTCAGTAACTTTACGTATTAGACTTTGAAAAGCTTTTTGGTATATTTGAAAGGAAACTTGATTTTTTATTTTCTCATCTGCATCCAAAAGATATTCAAATTCTTCAAATAAAAGAACAGCATTTGATCGTTTATTACTTTGTGATTGTGCATCAGCTGTCGTTTTTAACTGGTCTATGCGCCAATAAGCTAAACCTTTCTCTGAAAAATCTCTTTTTTATGGAATTATTGTATTATTATTGTATCAAAATTGTATCAAAATTCTATCAGAAACGTCTATAATCCGAACATGGAAAAATGTATACTTTCGTCGATTTTTGATATTTAATCGAAAAATAACTCAAAAGATTTCAGATCTGTCTGTTAAGAAAGGAATACACCATATTTTTGTACTACCATTTTTCAACCATAAGAGCATTGCTGACCAGAAAGTTAAATAGCAGAATTAAAAATTTGTCTAAGTGTACTACAAAATAGTCCTGACTACAAAACTGTTTTAACTATAAGCCAGTGGATATGTCTCATATTTTCAGGTAAATCTCGTATTTTTACCTCTATCAAATTTATATCTCGGCCAATCTTGTTGCAGTGAGTCGTATATAAATTTGCTTTGTATTGCTTTAGGTACTTCTTTTTCATTCTCATTATCAGCTTCATTTCCTTTAAAATAGAAATAAAACTAAGAAAATTTTAATAAACAAAAAGATTTTTGTGTTGGTTCTCATTTATTTTTTAAATGAAATCCAAAATAGTCGAGATTTTGTGAAAGATATATTTAAAATACCGATACAAAGTTTAGTATCCGAATTCGGATATTTTTGTAAGGTTAATATCCGTATATCTGACTCTATGAAATATGTATTTACAATATGAACTAGAGACAGGAATATGAGTGCCTCACAAAAACCTAGTTAGATAGATTCTTGTTAACCGAGATTCATGCTGTTAACCGAGATTATTGTTAACCGAGATTCTGTTATCTGGATCTAATAAATATTTACATAATAAATTAGAGACCGGTCTTTTAGTGTCTTACGAGAATCTAGATCGATAGATTCTTGATAACCGAGATTTATGTTCGTGATCGCGTCTCTTAAATAACTTTCTCTAATTCTTCCTTTTCTTTTTGTTTTGAAGGATTTGAATGTTCTTGTAAACTTATTTCAAAATTCAAGAATTTTTTTATAAATTTTACCATTAACTTCCTCATGATAATTCGGCTCTAATGATATTTCTCTATTTTCATCAATTTTCTGTTGCCCATTAGAAGAAGAAGAGCTTCCATACAAGATCTTATTTTTATTTTTATTATTTTCATTTTTTATATTATTTAATTTATTAGTTCCGTATAATAAATTTATTATACTTAAGCATGTTAATAAAATAATTATTTTCATCAAAATTTTTTCTAAATCTGCACAAGGTGCGGTGAATTAAGGGCACTGTTTCTTTTCAGCGTTTGAAATCGGTAATCTTTTTTTATTATATTCCCAACACTTTAAATAAAGAGCTGATTCGAATCATAAAAATATTTCCTATAACAAAATCTTAACCATTAATCCGTATCAACTTATACAAAAAATTTTTGCTCAAAATTCGATTAATCAGCCTATATTCTAAAATTCAAAAGCAATTTTAATATGAACAAATTTCTTAAGGTGTTGGGACTAAAATAAAAAAGAATTACTGATTTTCATAAATTTTGAAGATGGTTATGACAAAAATAAAAAGTGCCCTTAATTTGCCGCACCATGTATTTAAATAAAATAAAAATTATTTGTTAATTAATAAAAATTATAAAACAATTTTTAACTAAATAATTTTTCACTAATTTTTGTTGAAATTTCTCTATTGACAGTGACAGTAAATGTCGCTTCGTGGAATAGGCACCTGGACGTGATCACGTAAAATCGCGTATGATAAACCCATCCATTAACTGATAAAGATATTATACACTAGAATTAGTAGTGGATATACAGATAATTTCAAAATGCCTGCGGATATCGTCTTAAAAAATCCGAATACATATACTAAAATTATTGACAATAATCATTTACCAAGTTTATTATGCATTCCGTTTCATAACCCATTTTAAAATTTCTTCTATAATATCTATTTGATAGAATTATAATATTAAAACTTTAAAAAATTTTGCTATTAAAAAAGATAAACAAAATGTCAATTAAAGAAATCTGAGTAACAATTTAATTTTTAAATTATTTATAAAGAAAAACCGACATATGTACATGTCCTTTCATAATAGTAATTTCTCAATTTTGTTTTTCTTAAGAAATAAAGAAAAATACTGTCTGGGAAAATATTTGTTATTGTTTATATATGGGAGAGATTTTAATTTAAAAATTAAGAAATTGTTAATTTCATACAGTGAAGTGCAAAAGTTTATGCCGCCGCTTTAAAACATCATAGAGCCTTTCAGGATCGATCAATGTCTAGAATAGAGACCGGCAAAATCGTGTTTGCGGGAACCCGCATGCGGGATTTTTTAAAAAAATCTTTGCGGGACGGGATCCCGCGGGAAAAATCCCGCATCCCGCAAAATCCCGCAATTTAAATTTGCGGGATCCCGCGCGGGATTGCGGGATTTTCCAAAAATCGTTGAAATTATCAATATATATTGAAAAAATCAATTTCCTAATCATTAACGAGTTCTTAACGGGTTCTTAACTGTATCATACTTTGTACCAAATTACGAGTACATGTTGGTACAAACGATAAGCACTTATCCAGGTCCCCAATTATCAAAAAAAATCATAAAGGGCAAACTTATACATTTTCGTCGGAAAATTCGAGTATACGAATTAATATAGCTTGAGCTGAAACAAATCTTGATCTAACAAGTTGGACAATTTTGTTTCGATTTTAATGATGATTCCAAGGGCGGCAGGCGAAAATTTTGGAAGGCAAAGTATCCATATTCCCTCCTTTTTCAGCGCCGCAGGCAAAAATTTTTTGAGTTTAGAAGGTTAGGAGCAAAAACTCTCCATTTTCCAAAATCCCGCAAAATTAAAAAAATTTTGCGGGAAAAATTTGCGGGATTTTTTAAAAAAATCTTTGCGGGACGGGATCCGCGGGAAAAACCCCGCAAAATCCCGCATCCCGCAAAATCCCGCAAATC